TCCTTTTTTTTTTTATAAAGGAACAGATATGTATACTGCAATATATCTTCACTTCAGATATGCTAGTCTCCATTATATAGCTCACCTATAAAAATGTTTTTACATTTATTCACTAGTGTATTTTGTGAATTTTAAAGTTTAGTACAGAAAAAACTAATCTTTTAATTCCACTCTCATGGTGTTTTAAAGTAGCTGTATGTGTATGTGTGCATATGGAATTCTTGTAAAGGCCTGTAAGAAACTGTTAGAGACCTTGTTCTGGGAAACATAACAGAGAAGAAAGAGTAAGCAGTGTGGAGATATATTCATTGTGGAGATCTGTCCCTGAAAACCCAGATCACAATGCCTGAGGACTCTGAATCTTAACTCTTTTAGGCAGACTGAGAATGCTGCAAGGAGCATACTCCCTGCTGAGATTGCAGATAAACCTTGGGCTGGCTAACACATCTGGGGAGGTGTGAGGCATCTTCATTAACTCCCTGTTCCTTCAGTGATTGTGGCCTAAACATATCTGAGTACAAACAGTTCTGTTGGATTGTATTTCTAGTTAGATCTGTTTGTTTACCAGTGTGGATTCCTGTAACTGATGTTTACTTATCCAGCTGCTTGGAGCCTGGTGATTGTTTCCCCTGAGCCCTTGTAACCTATTGGTGGAGTAGTTTGATTACCATTGTTCCATTAACTTGTAACTTTTACCAACCTGCTTGTTCTGCAAAAATTGGTATAAGACCAGAAAAATTCAATAAATTGTGCATTCATTCATGTCGCCTGTGTACCTTGTATCCCAAAGTTCTTCTCGGTGTGGATGTCACACTTTAAGTTCCAGTCCCCATTAGAGGGACCACCAAGAAAGAGGTACTTTTAAGCTCTCCTGCAGGATTTTATACTAGGTTAAACCTTTCCTTTGATACACAAGGTATGTTATATGGTGGACAGATCAAATCCAATGTGCTCCACTACTAATTCATCTCCCTGTTAATGTGTGTGGGAAAACAGGGGAAGATGTACCAAGTGTTTGCATTGCTGCACTCATTTGGGCCCCTGGGACCAGTGGAGAGAGGATTTCTCTCTCCGCACTTTGTAGCTCTGACATACAAATGAAAATATTTTTAAGTGATGTAAGCTTTATAAAAGTCTAAAGAGAGAAAGGGAAAGAAAGAAATTTGCTGGTTCAATTTCCAGATGGTTCATCCAGAGCTTCATAATGGTTTGCCACAAAGGTCAATCAGTATCTTAACCAATAGGGCAAAGCTTCACTCCTCATTTTTTAGTTGAAAAATAATTTGTCTTAACATCATTCAAATATTTTCAAGAAGTAGAGTACCTAATTATAAAAAAAAAAACCCAAAAAACAACCTGAAATCAGAAAGTGCTTCCATTTTAGACTTAAAAGTTTGAGTTCAAGAAACAAAAGTATAACTAGTGGAAACATGTATGGGAAAAACTAGCTCACTAAACTGCTACTAGCAAAGCCAAACAAGCTTTTATATCAATTAAAATTTCTTAATAAAGCATAAAGTTGCATTCACATTACTCTGTCAACTTAATAAGTACACTTTCTGCAATAAAAACATAACCTTAAAGTTGAAAATATGCCCAATTGTAAGAATATGTGAAAAAACTCTTATTGTATGAATGCATATAATAGCAGATTAATAAAAACCCAATACCTTCACAATCTAGAATAAAATCAAAAGCAAAAATATCTCATAAGATTTATGTTTAAATGATCTTTATTTAAAAGTTGCAAGGAGGTCCACAGTGAGGCAAAAAAGACACTTAAGTAATAGATATTACTAAAGAGAATACTTGAGAGATGACAAAATTATATGGGCTGAGTGATTAAAAGTATTTTGAGATTTCCTTCTTGGCTGCAGATGTTCCAGAGCTGGTTAAAGATGGTGACAGAGAATACAGATGGCATTTCAGATATGGTGGGTGGAAAAAAATCCAGTGAAAAGAGAGAGACTAACGAGGATAATCTCTTTGTGCATACAATTCTCACTGCAGAAAGAAATAGGAAAAAAAGCTTTCTGTTTTGTTGTTTTAATTACAGATTGTGTAAACCACAGAATGAAAAAATAATTTCTAAGCAAATCTAAATAGAATCATACATTAATGTAAAACCTCAAGAATACTAAGAAAAATATAACACCCAAGCAAAAAAACATAATGTACTTATGCAGATAAAAATTTAACTCACATTAAAACAATGAAAAAGGATTGTTAAGAAGCACATAATACAGTAAATGCAATCATCTAGCACATAAGGCATGGCCAAAATACATACTTACACAAACAAACGATTATTTCAAAATAAATTCCTAATATATCCTAAAAAATATTTTCAGATAAATAGGTGCTAAAACCAAAATGGAGCAGACTAAAATAATTTAAGAAATTCATTATTCATTTCCCCAGTATCTACAAAAAACACTTGTTACTACTGCATAGATACTGGACCACAGGTTGATAATCAAATCAGTAAAAAAAAAAAAAAAAAAAAAAGTGAGTAAATATCCATATACTGAGGAGATGAAACAAAAAGCTAAAGGCTAAAAACTTGATGGAATAACTGCTACGAGTAATTCATAAAATACTTACAAAAAGACTAAGAAAAGTTTCAGGAGATGAACAAACTTAAACAAGAGGCAAACAAAAAATTTGATAGCATTTCAAATCACAAAGTTGAAGAAATAAAAAAAAAAATTTCACAGATTGAACCAGGGGATGAAAGACTTATTTTAGTCAAATAATATGGTCTGTAATTATGTCTCTCCCTTAAAAACAAATTCATCTAAAAAACAAAACAAACAAACAAACAAAAAAAACATTGCAACCCCTGGTGCCTCCTCCCTGTAGACCAGCCTTTCAGCTACAGAAAAATAAACCTACCAAAACCCTGATTTCCTACACAATTATTCCATGGCTTGTCCAATGATACAGTGGGTGAACATATCGATGCCATCACCTCTTAAGCCATGCCATCGCAGCCATGTGCACACTGATCCAAGCATCCAAGATCACCTCTGACCCTCATGCTCACTCTCATAATAATGCTTGTCCGTTAAATTGTACAACCGACAACAGCACCATAGAAACCCTATATTGTCACTGGATAACTGTATGCTTCCCACGCCAATAGACATCCTTTCCTGAGAGAATATCTTGTGAATGTTTTCATTCTCTTTCAAAAGTTCTTCCTGTTGTCCATTCACCATGGATACCCACATACCTAGATTGCCCAACTCCAGACAGTGCCACGAGGCTGTTGAAGGAAATGAGTGATGGGAAAACAGGAGTTTGGCTCGGGACATCTTAGCCAACTGCAAGTCGGACTGGCTGAAAGATGGGCAAACATTTGGCTGCATCCAAAAGTGTATCTGAAAATATCATGCCCCTCTGACACGACCTCCCCCACCCCCCCCCCCGACAAAACTCATTTTCCTTGGCCTTCCATTTCCAAAGCACGGGGAGAAATGACATCAGACAAGACAGTTCACGGGCTTTTGCCCAGCATTTCTCACACGACGACTCATTCTGCAGTCACCTGTGTCTTTGTGAATGGTGGGGGAGAAGAGTCAAGCAATCCATTTCCCCCAGCGCCACCCACCCCACAGCTTTCTGTTTGCTTGTTTGTTGTCTCAAGTTACCCACAAAAGCCAAAAGATGCAGGAATAATGAGGCCAAACACGATCGAGGCAGTCTTACAATCAGTAGCTTGGAACGCACAGGAGCTATACACGAAAGGCCATTTCACCTAGTCCTTTCCTGGACTATGGGAATGAGGATCATCTCCAGTAGCAGCCAGCATAACCGCTTTCTATGAACCACTACAGAGTGAGATCACACTCGTGTTAGTGCAAGAGGGCAAAAGGAAGCAAGTGAGTTTCTGAATCATGACTATACGTATGCAACTGTCCATCATTCGGATGATTCGCCTGAAGGTTGTCTATGGCCACCTGGCTCCCTTCCCAATTCTGAGAAGCCACGCTTCACTCACATGGCATTAGAGTCAGGTTTGGCTTTGGCTTTCCCTCTTATGACTAGACGAGTCACAGTTAAGTGAGCGTCTCCTTCACCTACAAAACTAGTGTTTCCACTTTGTAGCTTTCAAGGAAAAGAAAAGGAAAACAAAAAGCCCTGACAAAGCAAATCACATACCTCCAAAATGTGGCTTTAGTGGGCATATGCCAGGCATAAGTTTTGGCAGAAACGGGGTGGCAGGCACGGCGGGCAGAGTCCCTGTTGGGGGCCGAAAGTGAGGAGGCCCTATCCTCTGGCACGGATCTGGTGGTGCACTCGACCCTTTGGCATTTTGAGCCGTAGTGACTGCCTCCTGCCGATGGCATGGTTGTTTCCCCTCGCAGGGAACTGCTGATGCACTTAGACTGCAGGTCTGTAAACACAGTAACATAAATCGGTCAGCACCAACAATACAAAATGCAACATTTCTACACAAATATTAAGGGACATAATCCAAAGAAATCCCTAGTATGCAGACTAAGTGCTCCAGAGAAACATCAGATGGGTTTTAGCGATCACAACTGTGTGGTCAAAGAACAGAAAGCAGGTTTCGTCAACACAGCAATATTCTGGCTAAAAAAATGCATACACACAGGCCAGGACAACCACAATGTAGAGTACCTAGCACGCTGAGCCCGAGAAGGGAAAGAACAAGTGGGCAGCTGACTCCAGATGTGGCTGAGAACCAAACTGAAAAACTCAGGAAAGTAGACTCTCAAAACATGACGTCAAAATAGTCAAACGTAAATCCGAAAGGGAAATCAAATCCCTTCCTTCACTGGTGTACTCCCTGAGAGGTGTTGACTCAGGAAAGAAACAGATTTCTAGAGAAAATGAATTACTAGGGGCATGTCTGCTCTTCTGCAAAATGAAAAAAAAAAAAAAAGGAGAGATCAGAAAGCTCCCACGCACACATGGGTACAATTACACTGTCTGGACATACCTCCAGGTTTTCTTGGTCATGGTTTTGGTTCAATTCTTTGTCAGGAAATTGGTTTGGACCTAGACATTTTTAAAAAGAAAGAAAGGGAAAAAAGGAAACCATGAACATCGCGGGTCTTACCATTATGTTCTTGGGACATTTCTGGATCACAAGGGACACTGTGAGATCTCCCACATCCAGGGCGGTGCATAAGCCAGCTTGACACCTGCATCCTTAGCCATGACCACAAGAATTCCCCGAGGATGGGCCTGGCCCAATGGCCCAGGAGTTAAGGTCCTTGCCTTGCTCACGCTGGGATCTCATTTGGGCGCTGGTTCTAGTCCCTGCGTCCTTGCTTCCCATCCATCTCCCTGCCTGTGTGGCCCGAGAAAACAGTTGAGGACGGCCAAGAGCTTCTGGACTCTACACCCACGTAGACAGAACCAGTAGAGCCTCCTGCCTTCTGAATGTCTTAGCCCCGGTCATTGCAGCCTGCTGGGGAGTGAGTCATCAGACGGACGATCTTGATCTCTGTCTCTCCTGTCTGTATATGTGCCTTTCTAATGAAAATAAAATTAATTAAAAAAAAAAGTAAACACTGAGGCCGCTGCATCTCCTGCCTTGCCAACTTCTCTACAGCCAAATGAAGCTGAGGGTTCTCCATCTGGATCTTAACAACCCACCTGCTGCAGCAGCTTTGAGAAGTTGTCGAGAGAGTAGCATCTCTCTTCTTCCTCCTATTCTGTTCCTGCTTCCTCATTCTTCCTGCAATGAATACTGGCCAACCTTAGACCCCGCTGGGCAATACGTGTTCCTGGACTCTGCCATTGGGGACTGCTCAGTGTCCCAGGACATCCATTCTGACCTGCCTCCTGGGAATACAACTCTTTGATCCTTCCCTTGCTTTCTCGGCTTGGCACTCACACTGCAGCTTGCTTGGTGCTCAGACCTAAGGGTTAGTTCCCCGACCTCTCTGCATCCTCACTTGCTCAATCCCCTCCCGACTCACCAGACTCCACGATCCATCAGTTCCGACATTTGCCAACATCCTTGTCCTACAAGTCATTGTCATTTTGTACTTGAATGACACCGTGCTAAGCCTAGATCAATCTGAGGCTCACACATAACTTTACCTACACCTGAGCCCCTTGGACAGCCAGAAGAGGTGGAAAACTAAGAGCCCTCAAACTCCCCACCATGGGAAAACACACTCACTCACTCACAACAGCACACATCTATGACAACTGGAACCTCAACATTTCAACCTGATCATCTCCTTCAACGGACTGCCAGCTTCACAGTGCCAGACCTTCCATCTGTGACATGGAAGCAAGTTCCTCCTCAACACCTGACAACATCCATCCTCCTGAAATGCACCTACACTCGCTACATGGCCACTGAATGGTGAGAAGATTGTGAGATGGCACATTTTGAATGCACAAGGTATCAGATGCTTCATATCCATTAAGTACAGTCTTCACCAACATACTAATGGCCACCATGGGGAGCACTGGTTGCTGCTCTGTTTTCTCATCCCACTCCCTGCTTCCAAATCAGGAAAACCAGCAGAGGCGGGCCCAAGCCCATTGCACCCTGCAGACACACAGCAACTTGGAAGATACTCCTGGCTCCCACCACCAGAACGACCCAGACTTGGCCGTGGTTTTTCTGGAGTTGGGCAGAGGATGCAAGCTCTCTTCTCACTTCTTTTCACTGTGTGACTCTACTTCCTCTCCCCTAAACATCAACTACTCTCCAGAAAGGAAACAAACAAACAATCTGAAGAATCCAGAGACACAACTCCAGTCCACTCACCCCTGATGTCCTCTGTCTGTAGACCTACCTTTCAGATACAGAAAAATAAACCTTACTGAAATCCCGATTTCATATACAATTATACCATGTTTTGTCCAGCAATACAGATTTTGAAGACGCTGTTGTAATGCCACCATCCCTTGTTTTTATGATTTCTGCTTCACCTGGTTGACCTCACACTCTGCTCTCTGCTCAGGTTACTTGGAAATTAGTGGAAATTGCATCAAATGCACCTGCCCTGGCCCTTCCTGTGCAAAACACCAACAGGTCTTTGCCCCTGGCTTCACCCTGCCGTACAACGTGGCATCGCAGCCATGAGTGGACTGACCCAAGGGATCTAAGATCAATTCTGTCTCATGCTCACTGTAATACTGCCGTTCAGTTAAATCAATCACCAGCAACACATAATATAAAAGAAATATTTGCACCGGATATAACGAAGCACTTCAGTTGCAATAGACAGCCTTTCCTGAGGGAGTCATTCACCAACATTTTCTTTGTTTTTTGAAAGTTTTACCTTCTGTTGATACCCCATGAATAACTACATAGATTGCCTAACTTCAGACAGTGGCCATAAGATTGTTGAAGAAATTGTGTAATGGGAAAACAGTATTTCAAGACATCTCACTTAAATACAGTTAGGAATTGGTGAAAAATTAGTGGACACTTAGACATATTGTGATTTTTATATTTTGAGTTCTGAATATTAGTTTAAAACATTTCACACTATTTTCAATTCATCACTTGAATAAATCCTTAAACCTCACACTGTATAGCATTTGGAGTGCTTTTTTCCTCTTTAATCTTTGAATTTGGGTGACCAGTAGAGCCTGGCCTTTCCTTTTTACATGCACCTCTTTGCTAAAGTAAGAGATGCTTCTTTCTCCTAACTTCATAGCGGCTATGATTGTTGTTGCCAATTTTAGGGACAAACATTTTTTTTTCTCTGTTATCTTACCTAGCTTTGTATAAAATTTATAACTCTTTTCTTAAAAGGTAAAATAAGAATTAACTACATTTAAATATGTTAAACCTTGTCTCACATCTTTGTTTATTTCTGTCACATAAAAACTGAATTTTCATGATACTATCCCTGCTGGTAGTTTGATTAAATATTAATATAAATAATACATGCATGTATATGTTCATCTCTGAAAATGTATTTAACTGTGAATTACATAAATAGATTTGCATAATCAATATATCTCAATACTTGTATTGCATGTCTACTCTCACAGCTTGCAAGCAATAAGTGTAAGCTACTGATGAATTCTATAGCTAACAACAATAGTACTGATAGCCTAAGTTGAATTTTCTGGTAATAAACTGCATACCTGGTTGAGCAATCTCCATTCTCTGTTCCTTTTCCAGACATTTTTTTTTTTGCTACATCTTTTTAATTATACTGCACTATGTGACAATTTAACAGGCTCTGGGATTCCCCCCAATCCCTCGACATACCCTTCCCCCATGGTGGATTCCTCCACCTTCTTGCAGCATTTCAGTTCAAAATCAGTCAAGACTCTTTCATTGCATATACCAAGCATAGAGTCCAGCATCTTACTATCCATATAAATTCAACAGTTTCTTGGGGAGACCATCTCTCTTCAGAACATAGAGCTGGTAGAATATCATCCCGATCAATTAGAAGCCACAACATAACATCAACAACAATTAACAACATTACTGAATTAATTGACAAGGTGTTGAGTACTCAATATGTTAGAAAATGCTGGTTCTTATCCATATCCTGTGACTACTTCATTGAAATTTCTATTTTAGTTTATATACAGCTGGCTTTTATATACCTTAAAATGGCTATAGGGTACTATTCAGCTGTCCCGTGTTTATTTTCATTTTAGTATTTAGTAGTTTATACTGTTGAAGCATAATTTTGCTGAACTTGGCAGATTTTAGGATAGTCCAAACTGGCTTATGATTCTAACAAGGCATATGTCAACAGTTGAGGTACAGAACAGTTTTAGGAGGGGTGTGCAGAGTAATCTTCAGTACCTTAGTGAGGAGTAACTAATCTTTATGTCCTACCTATTAAGGTATATGTGAGTGCAAGCTATTTCCTGCCTGGTTCTGAGCTTTCCTTGTTGTTCTCTGAATATCTATTCTAATTATTTTGTATGTTTGTTTTTGGGGAGCTCCGGAGCAACCCTGATGGTCATTGCAAGAGAGGGTGGGGGCCCGGAGCGATGGTGCAGTGATTAAGGTCCTCGCCTTGCACGCCCCGGAATCCCATATGGGCACTGGTTCCCACCCCAGCGGCCCCCACTTCCCATCCAGCTCCCTGCCTGTGGCCCGGGAAAGCAGTCGAGGACAGCCCAAGGCTTTGGGGTCCTGCACCCACGTGGGAGACCCAGAAGAAGCTCCTGGCTTTGGATCGGCATAGCATAGGCCATTGCGCTCACTTGGGGAGTGAATCATCCCATGGAAGATCTTCTTCTCTGTCTCTCCTCTCTGTATATCTGCCTTTCCAATAAAAATAAAATAAATCTTTAAAAAAAAGAGAGAGAGAGGGTGGGGATTCAAAGATGGAACTGAGCAAGGACCAGAGAGAGCTCCTCTCCCAAGTCCCAAAGGAAGTTTACTGTTCTGTTCCTGTAGACTGCTTGGGGGGTCCTGGCTGTTGTTCTGATGACCGTGGATCCTGTGAGGAAGGATTTGGTCTTCTTCCATCCCATGTGGTAGATCCAAGTGGGGGCGGATGACCTTCGAGTTGTTGGCCTCCAAACGCACACTAATTACCCGTGGTCTCCTTGGCAGTTGGGATGTAGTCCTTGGTGCCCATACTAATAGTCCTTGGTGAGGATCTAGGAGTCTCCAGGGTTGGGATACAAGCTTCCCCCTGTCTACTTGTTCCACTCTTGTGTTACCCCTGCTCTGTGCATATGAGCTCTTGTTAACAGGTTGTCAGGATTGCTCTTCATTTCCTCTATATGTCTTTGCCCACAAAAGCCACGAATAGCTAGAACCATCCTGAAGAATAGAAAGTTAACATGGGGAATCACAGTTCTGGACCTCTGGACATATTATCGGCAGTGGTTATCAAAACAGCATGGTACTGGCACAAAGATATAAAGGAGGATCAATGGAGCAGAATAGAAACAACAGAAGGAAACCCACGCAGATACAGCCAAATAATCTTTGACAAAAACACAAGACGACAATCCAGGCAAATGCGAAGATCTCTTCAATAAATGCTGCTGGAACAACTGGTTAATAGTCTGCAGAAACCAGAAGATAGACCCACATCTCTCACCATACACTAAGATCAAATCTAAATGGTTAAAAGACCTAAACCTACATCCAGAACCCTTCAAACTTTTGGAAGAAAATGTTGGAAAAACCCTGTAAGATTTAGGTGTAGGCTCTGACTTCCTAAAAAGGACACCAAAAGCACTAGCAATTAAGGCCAAGATAAACAAATGGGGCTTCATCAAACTAAGAAGCTCCTGTACAGCAAGGGAAACAGTCAACAAAGTAAAAAAGCAACCCACAGAATGGGAGATTTTTGCTACACTACATAGGTGATAGGGGGCTAATCTCCAGAATATCCAAAGAACTCCAGAACAATCAAAACACCAAAACAAACAAACCACTCAAGAAACGGGCAGATGTTTCACAAAGGAACAAACCCAGATGCCAACAATTTAACAGGCAGTCAATATCAGAAAAGTTTCTGTCAAAATTGGGGGATTTGTCATAGTTTGGTTTTCCTCTCTCAATAGAAATCATAGGGTCCAAAGTATGATCTCAGTTTTTTGAGCCTTAATAAAGGAAAAAAACAATAATAGTAATAAGTGTTTACTTCTCTTTCTATATATATATATAAACATGTATGCATTTTAAAAAAATTTATGTGAAGAAAAAATATTTATAATTATGGGAATTATTTTGACATTGTTTTTATGACCACAGAAAATATTGTATTTTAATTTCCATCACACATTCAAAAATAAAAGCAACACAATAAATCCATGCTTAACTAAGATATAAAGATTATTAATATTTTTTCAATTAGACAAAATAATGTATCTCATTTATCAAATTGTATTATCCTAAATATCTGTTTTTTGTTTTTTTATTTGTTTTTACAATGGAAGCCTGACATTAAAATGTTCATCTATTTTAGCACCTCTTTTAAGAAATCAAAATTAATTTGACCATTTCTTTATTAAATTCTACAAAACAATATAAGTGTTCTTTATGTAGTTTGTATTAATCTGTTTGAAGCAATATATGGTTCCTGTTATAAAGTTAGGTCAATTGACTTGCATGTGAGGAGATCAACTATTCCTCATGGATGTGCTGTATTAAATGAACCACATCATTTTTGTAAGTCATTCATTTTTCTAGTTTGCTTATTAAAAGATAAAACCTGAGAAAGTAGAAAATGTGCAGAAGTCTGAAGTGAGGCATAGTTCCAAATAAGAACAGATTCAAAGGATTTTTCTCTAATGTGTCTACTCAGAGGACTAAAGCTGCAAATCAACTAGCTACCAAGTAAAAATTACAACTTCAAAAATCCTGAAAGAATAAGTTTGTTATTCAGATCAAAAACCTTTACACACACGGATTCATAGCTCCTTCCAAGGTGGTCATGCATTGTGGTCCCAATGTGCAAGAGGACTGTAAAGTGGGAAGAACTAATAGAAGTAAACTGAAGATGGAGAAAGATGATATAACAGTTAATGGGCAAAAGGCAAATATCCAAGAACATCAAAGACACTGATTTTCACATATTCTGAAGTAATTCCAAAGGAAGTGGTGCATGGATATTTAGAATTGCAGCGTTAACAGGAACATGCACAAATTACAGACTCTTCAGATAAGTCATATCTGTTAAGATCACCAAGAAAAGGTGGGCACATTTCAATGTGAACAATGTCATTATGTCTAATGGAACAGAGAATCAGAACTGAAATCCTAAGACTGTGATTATGAGTAAGTCTGTAACTTCTAATTTTCTCACATGTCAAGGGAAAATGTTACATTACTGTCACTGAACAATGAAGAATATATGGCAAAATATCAAAAGAAGAAAGCTCAAGGTACAGATTGTTTTAAAGGCACTAGAGCCTTTATAAAGAAGGTAGGAAACCGAAAAAATAGCATCTACTGCTTACACTCTAGGTAGCTATGAAAATGCAGAGCAGACAATTTTGGTTTCCAAAATATCAAATGATTTCAGTCTCTAAATCCTGTCTATAAGAGGAATTCATAATTACTTAACTCTAAAAGAGTTAATTTTATTTTGTGATTTGCTATAATAAAAATATCATGATTACAATGTGGAAATTGGTTTTCTGAAATTTTATATTCTAATAATGATTCATCAAATGATGATTTTATTAGATTATTTGTTGCTCTATTATGTTTTCTCCATAAAATTTATTACATAGTATAACAAATTGCTTTCTAACAGCAAAATTATGGATCAAAAAATTTTAAAAATGTACTATAGTATAACCTCTAATAAAAATATGTATATGTGCAATATATATATATAAGAGAAAAATAAATATGTGTATATATTTGATGTCATACAGCTCTTTTTCCAAAGGTAACTAACTCACAGTAAGTGTAAGGAATCTGTGTTTTCCAGATGTGTATTTTAAAGATCATTTTAAGAATGGGATGAAAATACAAAGCATGCCAGCATGATGGCTCAATTGGCTCCAATCTCCCCTTTGATGTGCTGGGATTCCACATAAGCACTAGTTCTTTCATAGCTTCATTTAGCTATACCACAAAGTTGGAATCCCATTTCCACAATTACCATTGAGTTATGCTACTGCCATTTTAAAGGTTAATGTATGTTCTGACCATTAACTAACATTACTTGTGTTACTACCAGACAGAATTGAATCAAACTTTGTTCAATAAAATAATTACTATACTGAAGTTAACATAGAGGTTAAGCAAAATAGGCTGGATATAGTTCAGAGTGGTAGGAAGTTTTAGGGGACAAGCAGTTTGATTTTGTTTAGTTTTTAATGGCAGCATGCTTTTATATGTTTCAGTTGATGTAGGTTGCAACATGGAAGCACAGCTGGGCCATTTATGAAGTGCTTCTGATTTGCAAAATAGAAAACACAAAATACACTCTAAGGCAAGAGAAACTACTTTTGATTCATCAGTGAATATTCAATTTATACACACAAATTACGCAATTTTTCTGTAAACAACCAAAAGGTCTACCATTTTGCAAACTACTCTGAAATAATGGTTATCCTTCCAAAGCTAAAATTCAATAATAAAAATCAAACTTAAACACCACAAAAATAACAATTCTTAAACATGCAATATTTCATGAAGTGTGACTGACATAAGTCATTTACAACAGATTGAAACATTATTTACCCTCCCCAGGACTTTTTCATTAGATTCAAATAAAAACTTATTCAATGTGGTTTCCCCTTTCTAATCTTGTTGCTACTTCAAATTTGTAATAATTTGATATTTTAAAAATATATAAAAGGACTAATTTTAATGAAATTTGTCTCCCCAAAGTGAAATTTGTAACTTGTTAAGGTTACTAAAATGTGATTCTATATAAGTATAAATTTATTTTCAATGCCGCAGAAATTGAGTTAAGCCCCATATTTTAATTACTTACTAAAATATTCTGAGATAATTAAATGTGCTAACTCAAGAAGGAATGGATAAAGACATAAAATACATCTTACAATAGTAACATAAAATATATCTTATAATAGTCCTCTCTTGCTTTAATTATTGCAGCCATGCTTAGATTAAGCTTTTCTACCTTTTAAATAGTAAAAAGCCAACTATTTTAATTCTCATTATGATAAATACCTTATGAAAATTCAAGCATCTAATTCAATATGCATGAAAATTTAATATGCATCTAATATATAAACAAGTGAATGCTTTTCCATTTAAGCACTCCTTGATTCATATCCAAAAACTTGTAATACCTAACATGTCAAGAATTTGGCTTTTAAAGGTCAAAACACTGAACATTTATCATCCTCCAAAGCCCCACTGAGAAAGGAAGGCAGAAATACTTTCCGTTAGTGTGATTGAAATAAAACCTCAAACCTTGTAGTTCTAAGGAGAGCTTAGAACAGACCTTTCATAGTTCCAGAATCTAAAATATTTCTAAATAATCAAATTAATTTATAGTAACATAAATTAACAATCAGAAATATAAAAATTTAACATGCATTTTATATCAGGGGTTGATTCTTTCATAGTGCCAGCATCTAAAATATTTCTAAATAACCACTTTAATTTCTAGTAACATAAATTGACAATCAGAATATATAAAGATCTAACATGTATTTTGTAACAGGGGTTGAGAAAACTAGTGTACCTCTGTCAAAGGTTTTATCTGGAATTTCAAGCACGTAAGGATCTTTTTGTAAAGTTTCCAACTCACCTTCAGATAAACTGCAAATAGAAAAAAGCAGCTCTCAGTTACTTTTCCAAGAGAAACCACCCACACTTCAAGAAAATTACCACTGCCATAAAGTAGCTACTCTAACTAACTCAATATCATTATAGAAGCAGGTCTTCTAGGATGATTCTGACCAAAACACTCTTTCATATCTCCCAGTATTTATCCTGGGAATACCAATATTTGTTGCTGAAGAATAGTGTGTTCTACTGAAGCTTGGAATTGCTTTTTTGCCACTTCAAAATGAGACTACCATGAATACTGTGACACAGAGCCAAATTTTTGAAATGGAAGAGCTTATCAAAGTCAACCGATCCCACTCTATCATTTTGCAACTGAGCAAGTTGTTTAAATGAAGTATAAAAAATGACAAGTGCCAGGATTAAAACACAAACTTTATGGGTCTGGGAAATGTAAGCTTTTCATTATAATTTGATCACAATGGTAATTTATCTTTTAAATCAGCAATTCTGCAAAATCTTCCTACTACTTTATTACTTAAACATTTTATATTACAAATGTAACTTCTAAAACAATCTTCTTAGTTCTTGATCATCAGAGCTGAAACAAATATTACAAATTCAATTGCTGAGAGTAGAAAAACAAGCAAGAATGCTGAATACTCAGCACACTATGGTAAGAAATCAATTCTAGGAAGACAAAGACCATTCTCACAGTATACTTATTTGCTCCCTTCTATTGTACATCATATGTTTATTCTCTCATCCAGCTTAATATTGCAAAACAATGTCAATTTATGCAGAAAATGAGGACTTGAGATAACATGATTGCTCTTCACATATTTATCAAAAGATGGTGATATTTGGAGCATAACTGTGTCAGAGCTTCATCCTTTATATTTCATCCTTCTGACTCCAGCAACTCTTGCTTGAAAACCTAATTTTTTTTCTATACATGTCTGTGCTGCATCTCCAGCAAGACAGTGTGAGTTTCACTTCAACATGGGTTCCAGTGGGGGCTTGGAGTGGTATGTGCAACTTCAGGTTCCATGTGCAGAGAGGCATTGCTACAAGGGAGTCACTTGACTGAGAAGTGAACAGATCTAATCACATCAGTGGGGGGAAAAATGTGGTTTCCACATCAGTAACCTGACACAAGCTGCTGATTCAGGACCACATCAATATGAAAATGTGAAAAACAAAATTTAATACAGATATATCACAAAGTTTCTTCCAAGTAATAGTTCAGGAACCTAAGTATTTCAGCTGGAAAAACACTAGTAGATACTTCACAATGAAATATGCCAGGTTCACTGGAAAACTTGCTACAAGTCCTTATGACAGAATTATCCAATTAATAAAATAACAATACAATAAACTTTTAAAATATTAATACTAAAATACTCACATTGGCACATCAGAAGTCATTTCTTTCTTTAGGTCATTGAGGCTTCTTTTAGCCATATAAGCATCCCACTTAAAAACAACAAAATATTATTAAAATATCTATGCAAATTTAAATGAAAATAAGCAGAAATATCACAGTGACAGCAGAAATATATCAGCCAATGCACATATAATTTTAACCAATTCTAAGAAAAACACATTGAATTTAAGAAATTATTGAAAAAATAAATGAGTTTCAGGTAAGCAAATACCTGCCAAGAAATGGTGCTCTCTATGTAAGATCAAGAATAGTTTGATTGGCCAAGTAATAAGCTAAGGGCTATATAAAAGGATGCAAGCTTCAAGCAAAGAAAAAAGACTTAGAGTCCTAGAGCTTGGAAAGTTTGGTCAGTTACCTCAAGGCAATCATCTCTAGAGAAAACAAACTGCAATTCAGTGAAATCATAAAGGTTTAAAACACTTTCACAGCTTGCTGGTAAAGAACACACTTTTATATAGAGGATATGATCAATGTCTGTTGGACTTCAATGATGCTAACAGAATTCTGTACATCATATTACATTTGTATTGATAAAAGGCTAAAACTCAAAGTATGTTACTCTTAGCAAACTCAAATTACATGCATTTTTGTGGGAGGTAGCAATGTCCAAAAAAAAAATTTACTAGCTTTTCATATAAACGTAGGTACTATCACTTGGTCTATAATTTTCTACAAGTTAAAAGTTAACAACATAAAAAAATAGTATGCAGCTTTTCACAAATAAAAAGAAATATAATATCAAAATATAATACTAAACATATTATCTAAAATTTAAGTACATGCTAAAAAGAGCAATGGCCAAAGAATAGGTCACATAAATATTTACAAAAGTGATACCTTACTTATTTGTAGGCCTTGCTTTCAAAAAATAGTGCATGTGTAAAAACTTTTCCAGTATGTAATGCTGTCATCAATTTTTACTAAAGAATTATACCAAAAATTTAAGGAAAATACATAATTTATTAAACTATTAACAATGTGGAAACACATTGTTTCAAAATGCTTTACTGTATTTGAACACATTTGCTTGTTAAATAGAAGACAACATTTAATAACAGGTAATAAGCTAGTAATATTAAGGATATATATGAAAAATAATTCTATACAAACTAATGGCAAATTCTTGAGATTATTTATTTTATTATGAAAGACAAGGAGTAAGAGTTTTTTTTTTCCATAAATTTATTCACTCCTCATCGGCCACACAGCCAGAGACAGAATGGGCTAAAGAAGAACCCAGGATTCAATCTGGGTCTCCCACATTGGTGTCAGGGACCAAGTTCTTCAACCATCAGCTGCTCTAGCCTAAGGTGCACATTAGCAGGAAGCTGGATAAGAAGCGGAGGAGCCTGGACTTAAATCAGGCAGCCCAACTGAGGACCAGGTATCCTAAGCAGCATCTTTACTGCCACATGAACTGCCCACCTACTTCTGAGTCTACAGCTTATTCTCAAAGGTTAAGACAAATTTCAGCCAATGACTATGTTATACTCCAAAACACTGTGTTCAAACACTGAGCACTCACACCTATAAAGCCTTCTAAGAGGTCTGCTAAGGAAACAGGGACATTCACTCACTAATGGAACTTGAAACTCTCTCAGGGTAAAGACACAAAGAATGATCACAGTAAGGGCTGTTGTTGGGCCTTGAAGGCAAACTGCCATTAAAAACTGCCATGTCCCACTCTAGAATACTTGGGTTCAATTTATGGCTCTGTCTCCTTGTCCTGTATTCCTGATCATGCACTCTGAAGCAGTGGCAATAGATTAAGCATTTGGATCCTTAGCCATCTACATGAGAGATGTGGACTGAATTCCAACTTTCAGCTTCAGCCACAGCCCAGCCACAATCATTGTAGGTTCTCAGGACAAAAGCAGTTATCTGCAGGGCTGTTTGTCTCTTTCTCCTTTTTCTTCTCTCCCTGGCAATTCTTACTCAAATAACATTTTTAAGATTCATTTATCTTTTTTTAAAAAAGATTTATTTATTTTTATTGAAAAGTCAGATATACAGAGAGGAAGAGAGATAGAGAGGAAGATCTTCTATCCAATGATTCACTTCCTGAGAGACCACAATGGCCGGTGCTGTGCCAGTCTGAAGCCAGGAGCCAGGAACTTCCTCCAGGTCTCCCACGTGCATGCAGGAAGGCAAAGCTTTGGCCCATCCTAGACTTCCTTCCCAGGCCACAAGCAGTGAGCTGGATGGGAAGTAGAGCTGGAGGGATTAGAACTGGTGCACATATGGCATCCTGGCACATTCAAGGTGAGGACTTTAGCCACTAGGCTACTGCGCCAGGCCCAAGATTCATTTATCTTTATTGGAAGGAGTGAATGAGTGCACAGAAGAGAGAAATTTCTTCCCCAACTGTCCACATTTGCCTAAGCTGAGCTCATCCAAAGCCACGAGTCAGGAGTCACCTTCAACTCTCCCACATGGGTGTATAATTCTAAGGATTTTCGACTTATTCCCTTGTTATCCCTGGCCACAAGAAGAGAGCTAGATAAGAAGTATAAGAAGCAGGTCATTAGCCATCACCGTTATGGAATCGTGGTTCATGATGATGAGAATTTACTCAATGGTTATATCCCTGGGCCCCCAAATAACTTTAAAACATTTTCTCTCTCTCTCTCTCTCTCTCTCTCTCTCTCTCTCTCTCTCTCACACACACACACACACACACACATACACGAATATTACTCAGGCAGGCAAAAAAAGTATTAAACATCTTTCACAACAAAATGCATGCAAATGGAGAACATTCAGGTTTAACAATCAGTTTCCAAAGGAAACGTCATCACTTTATGGGGTAACTAATCTCGGGGGTCTTCTGTTCAGCAGGTCCTGAGATCACTGAAGGGTGAGGTCACAGTGATCCTCGGCAGCAGAAACAATGGAGACAAACTGATAGTAGGGGATGTCGGTTTATTTGAAAGAAGCTACACGCTTACAAAGGGTAGGAAAAGGAGCAGGCAGAAAGGTGGTCCTGACAGTACTTCCACCCAACCACGATACTGTGACAGGCTACTAGATATGTCTGTCTCTTTGAACCCTCCAAGAAAGTTGAAGGTCAGGAAGCACAGAAAGCTGGCTGTGTCTCAGGGCAAACTCCTTACCTGCTGAAAAGCAGGATGAATGTAATGTTTGACTTCCTAGAGTTGTTTATAACGGAAGTCCTAGCACAGTTCATTAAAGGGGCAGAGAAGAGAGACTGGGATGCAGCTCATCATTCTTGCTGCAGGTCCAGTGAACCGGCCAACTTGGGGTCTCAGCCAACGACATGGTGTGCCATGTGCCTATGGCCTCCAGCATGGGCTTAGCAGGCAGAGATCCAGAGGCAATATCCCACAAACATACAAAATAACAGAAGTAATAATACATCTGTGAACAAATATTTATTGTCTTTGTCTAAACTACTCATGAACAGTAATTTTTCTACTTTATATATATTCAATTATTTATTTAAGGAAAGGAAAATCTTGCCCCTTTAAAGAAAATGAAGAAAAAGTTGAAAGAAAAATAAAGGGTGAACAATGTAGGAAAGAAGGTAAAGGGGAACTTTATCATGTTCTTAAGATCATATATTTGAAAAACTTGAAATATGTTACTATGTAGAAGATAAAAATTTTGAAAACATTTTAAAATGATCACAGCACTTCTGCCCACACATTCAGTCCCCAACTGTCCACAATTGCCTAAGATGAGCTCATCCAATAAAAATAAATAAATCCTTAAAAAAGGGTACCATCTGATGGAAGGTTAATTGTCTCCATCCCTCCCTCCACCTGTCAATTCAGTATATAAACATTACAAAGTTTTCAAAAAGTGTGTGTGCATGTATATATGCGTGTATGCACATGTGTTGGTATATGTGTGTATATATGTGTAAGAGTGCTAAAAAAGTCTATCCAATGAAAGTGAAATTGAGGATGACTTTATGGCACCTTTCTGCATCATCTGAACATTGGTTATTATAATAGTTATTTATGTGAGGACATTAACAAATGAGCTCGAGACCTCTGCTTTATCTCCAAATCTAACAACTGGTGTAACTGGGTCAGGAGAACGTAAACAAATAGATACCACTCTCATGCTACTATGCTCCACTCGGAGATGCCTAACATCTACAAATCTTCACAGTAACAACAATGGTAACACCAGACTCTACGTGTGCCTAATCATGTCAAACACTTGACAAGCATCCATATATTACTTAATCGTCACAATAAATCAAGAAATAAGTACTATTAGTATCTCTACTTTAGAGATAAGTAAGGTAGATAAGATAGGTAATAAAAACAGGGAATTGTCATAAAGACAGCATACAACTAAGACAGGCTGATTTCAGATGCAACACATTTAACTACAGGGCATGATGCCTCCACCTCCCTGTGACAGGCACTCCCCAGTGGACAGCTACTGTCAACAGCTCCATCTCTGCTCTTCCTTCTAACTGCTCAAACTTACAGCCACTTCACTTCCTCATCATGCAGTTCCTCTGCAGGCACAGACAACTAGATCCCCAGACGACCCTTTCCTTAATCCCTACCAACACTGAGAATCACTTAATAGAACCCTCAATTTTAGAACTAGAAAGGGCTTTAGCTAGCTCTTTTTCTAATCTGATTTGTTTGACAAATGAGTAAAATGGTCCAGAGACCTTTTTGGCTCCTCTAAATAACAAGGGGCAATCCAATATCCCAAAATGTAAATGCATAACCATGAGCATATGCACCAAGTTCCTCTAACCCTCTTACCCTCTTCTAGGCTACTTTTGAGGAAGAAAAGTGCTGAAAGAAGACTGTGGGAATAACCACCATTTGATAATGTATTATTTCTCCAAATGGAATGCAATATCACTACTGGTTTTTATATACTATCTTTTTCATAAATTTAAATCCCCAGCATTATCTTCCTGAAGGAAAAGCAAAATGTATTTTAAGAAACAGAAAAATCTTTAAGGCAATTTGAAACTTACCCAATTATGGTGGGCTTTTTTCTTATAATGAATAACCTGAAAAACAGAATGCTCGAAAATTAGTTCTCTTAAACAAAAAGAACACCCTGGCTTTAACATAGGAAGTAACTCACAAGCTAAGAAATATTCCACACACATTTTGTGTCAGTAAACACAACATTATGCAAAATTTCATGAACACATCATCAATTGTGTGTAAGTACACTAAAA